TTTGGTCTTCCAAAAGAGGACACGACTAGAAACCAGTGGTTAAGTTGTATTTACAACACTGTTCCAGAACAGTGCAATGCAAATAATCAAGTGTGTGCAGAGCATTTTATGGAGGACTGTTTCCTGGGAGAGCAGCCTACAAGGCTGTTCTATAAAGTGGGGCAATTCCAACTTTGCAAGGACAGTCTGGCGCTTCTGACTCAACACGTAAAAAGACAGTATAAGTCATTATAATCCGTAATTATGTCCCCACTGGATGCAAAAAATTCCTCGTTTATAATGGGTTTTATTGGTGTTGTCTCATCGCGCCGGGACACAACATCATAGTATGGTAGGGGCGCAACATTTCCGTCAAAATAATGTTCTTTTTAGCAACATCATATGACCCCTTTAAAAGTACTGCTATATGAACAAAAGTGCAATAACATTTGGTTTGCAAACACTTTAAATAAATAAGGTGCTTTTTTTTACAGCAGTATTCCTTTTACATAGTTAGCAGTTCAAATTGTTCTTGTAAATCTCAACTTATAACATTAATGTAATCAAATTAAATATAAAACCAAAGCTATTTGCCACTGCTAGGGCATTAACGATTTTATAGAAAATATTTTATAGTTTGTTATAGAAAAACAAGTCCACAGCCTCGATCATAACATTATAACAGGCACCTTCCAAGTAGAGACCTGCACAATCGCGGGACCCAACGCAGCAGAGTGCGGCGCGGGTCAACACTTGATGGGCGAGTAGAGACTCGTGTGTGCGGGATGCGGGAGAATAAATAGGGTGTACTCACACTAGGCAATCTTAACCGTGCCCAAGTGCATTCGACCCCCAAAGTCCGGTTCGTTTGACTAGTGTGATCACTCCGTGCTGCGCTCGGGCGCGGTTCGTTTAGCCGGCCCAGGCTCGGTTGGAAGAGGTGGGCCTGAGCGCGGTTCAGTTGGGCTCGGACGCGGTGCGCATGTAGTGTGAGCGCTAACCGCACCGGAGCACAGAACTTCTGATACATGCAGCATGATTGCGTGTACATTTCTGAGCGGCAAAAGTGATAGATCGGTAAAGCAATATATTGTGAGAGGGCCGTGTGTTACCGCGTCTCAAACGACTCAAAATAATAAACCACAAAGTTAACAAAACGACGCACTCCACTGTGCTGAGCGCTTCTCTGCTATCTTCACGTGCTATCGGAAACTTCCTATTTCCCACATATGAAGTCGTGAGCACTTCATGTGAGCACTGCTGCAGTCTTAGGCCCACCCAAATGCTCTCATTGGTTGAAACACGTGATGACACCCATCCCAGGCCAGTACTGATCAACATCCCACCCTCCTGTGACCCATGGTTTGTTTGTATGTGAGCAATGGACTTTCATAACAAAAAAAAACTGCGTTAATGCGCATTAAAATAATTGTCGGCATTAATCAATTAATGCGTTAACACGATAATAACACGTTA